CCCCATCTGTGGTATTTTGCCAGGGCAGACCCAGCTGGTGAAAGGCACACCCTGACATATCTGCGAGCCGTAGGCACTTCAGCAAGGATGGGCTCTGCAACCTCCAAGGAACCTCAGCTTCTAGAGAGCCCCAGCAGATACCAGAGCACACCCTGCATCTGGTTGCAGGGGGACCTCCCTGGTGGGAGGACCCCCCCCCCTGCCACCCAACAGGACCACTGCTGCCATTAAAATGTCAACACTTAGGACCAACCTGTTCAAAACTCCGCTTTCTGTCCCACGCCAGGCTACTCATCAGGCTACATTTAAATGACAAGCCAGCTCTTACAATGCCTACTTCCTCTGCCCTCAGTCTTAAATCAACTCCATGACTCCCACGGGTAAAAGCACTCAAAATCACAGCATCACATCCTATATTGGCCACTAGATGGAGCCAGGTTTCGCACCAAAAAGACACCTGAGGTGAAGTTGATTTCCCCAAGTGCTTTGTAAATAGAATCATTGAGTTTCACAGCTGGTGGTGGCAAGTTATATAAGCCCAAGGTCCTGTGAGAGTAGGACTGCAGAACAGACCATTCACAAAATATTTATTAAACACCTATCTGTACTAGTCTCTGAGTTGAGGAAAATAATGGGCCCTTGTCTACTTTCCAGGAGTGCCAAGTTTGGAGTAGGAAAAACACACACACACGCAGAGTGCACATTTCTTGAACACCCCAAACTCTGCCGGGCACTTTTCAAGTCCTAGCTCTGATTCCCAAAGGTTGAGACCTTGTTCCAGTTCATTTGGCAGAGCCAGGACTAAATCCCAAATCCGTTTGCCTCTCACAGCCGCACTCTTCCCTCCACACCATCCAGCCCCTCAACCAGTTCCCCAAGCCAAGTGAAAGGCAGAGCAGGTTGGGTATCAACCAAAGTCACCGGAAACGCCTGAGACAGAGCTAACTCTGACTGGGCAAATCCAGGAGGGCAACCCAGAGGTGGTGTTTATTTTAGGGTTAGTCAGATGGACTTCATGGGGAAGAAATTCCAGGTAGAAAGTGGCATATCCTGATGGCACAGAGCTTGGCAGGAGACAGCCTTTCGTAATGAATGGCAGGTGGCCAGTGGGGAGCATGGGTGTGTGAGGAAGGATGCGGCCGGGGCTAAGGCAGAGAGGGCCACTGAGGGGAGGACCATAAAGAGCCCCCCACACGCAGTTTAAGACGTTGAGATCTGCTCCCACAGGCAATGGGAGGCCAATAGAGGCTCTCGGAAAAATTTCAGATGTGAAATTGAAATGGGCGATTTTTTCCGGGATGGAATGTATATTCATACTTTACAAGATTATACAACTCAGTGCCTCCTTTGAAAAGAAAAACAGTCATCTTTCTGAACATATGGATGCTAAGTCTGTCCACCTAATTTTATTCTGTACCACATGGTACTCAGAATTTTTAGATGAGTAGATGGACTGAATTCACAGATCAAACTTAGTAAGAGACATCTTCATCTGTTACTTAAAAATCGCCCCCACTGACTACAGCCAATTTACCAATCTAATAAAAGGAAGTGGTGAGGGCAGGCGACAACTTGTAAAGTACTTAGACACACCCCGCCCACACTCAGAGTTCATTTACACACGCATGCACACACACAGACCAAGGGCACCGGCATCAGGGTCTTACTAACACTGGCCCGACCTGCGGCGGCACCGAATGATACTCACAGATGTGCGTGTACGCTGTCCCCCCAGAGACAATGAACTCCAGGCTTCAAAAACCAGCCGCTACACCCAGAGGAGGCACGGTGTCATTTTGAAAACAAAGGTCACAGGTTTTCAGAAACCAGAATTTACTTCCATTCTGGGCTTTCTAAATGAACTTGCTGTAAACTTTTACAAGGACTCTCCTCAAAGAGCCTCCCTGTGGATTTATATACTACTCCTACATCAAGGCTGTCCCGCTCAGCCAACACACATCTGGATGAAAACTTTAATCATCTCATTGTGTCCAAGTGCCTGGATGTTTGCAGTTGATAAGATACCCAGACCCCGTCTGAGACTTTGTGTCTTTATCAGATACTTTGCATTCATCAGATACAACCTCAAAGAGAAGTGTAATTGGGGAAGGTTACGAACCACATTCAGTACCGTGCTTCAAGGCTTAGGGAGGTGGAATGACGTGCCTACTGTCACAGAGCTCACTCGTGGCAGAGCAGGGTTTAAGCTCCATCTGTCTGCTGTCTCAGGCTGTTTGCTTTCCACTACGCCAGTTGCCTCAGTGGTATGGACCTACTGAGCAGACTCTGAAGCAGAGACTAAATGACCAGCCCTGCAATATCCACAACCCTGTTGTGTTTATAAAAAGGAAAAGAAATGAGTGTAAAGGACATCAAACTGCTCTGGATTCAACATGTGCAAGCAAACTGACAACTCAGCCTCACAGCAAACACACGCAGGCACTGCCACAGAGTGAAGTCACGCTTAACTAGTGTTCTAGAATGTTACAAACAGAAGGCATGCAAGATGCCATCTGGGCTATCTCTCTTCTGTTGGAGGTAAATTTCTGCATCAAAAGGAGTGAAAGAAGAAAAACCAGGCCAGAGGTCTCTAGTTTCAATAATTGGGTGGTTTGCTTACCCGCCTGCGCTTTTATCTACATTTGCTCTGAGAGCTATCTCACTTGCTAAAAAATGTAAACTTCCCAGAGCAGGAACAGAAATGTAAACACTTATCCTTTTCAGCAGGGGAGGCTGCGGCTGGGACAGTGGAGGAAACAAGGACTGTCCTGCTGTAGTGTCACCGAGATTCAGTTTTGAGTGTTTCAATGTCTCCACCTTGTGGAAGCTGTCAATACTGCCTCAGAATCAACACTGACCGTCATCTACTGAGGATTAAAAGACAGATCTGGCAATAAAGTAAACTCTATTACAGGATACAAAAATCTCAAAACTACAGTGAGATTTGATAATGATAACCTTGAGGCCGCACTGGATACCTAAAGTCATCTAATTAATAGTAAAATGATTCAATTACATGCAACTTAATTTTAGGAATGGGTGTGTTATTGTTTTCATGTTTACAAAGAACTAGAAACCCAAAATAACGCTCTAAGTTAACTGGGTCACTTAATTTATCAGCCCATTCACTTTCCCAGTCATTCTGGAGGGCAGAAATGGGTTCTATTGTAAGGGCTTTGTGGCTCCTCTCTTCCAAGTTTTCACTATGGGATAGTTCTAAAAGTACGAGGTAGGAAGCCAAAGCACCTCTCTGTCTAAACTTTTAATTAAGTCAAAGAACACTTCTGGTCAGACAGACAGGACTACACAAAAGTAAAGTAAATCAATTTTGAAATAAACTCCAGCAGCTGTGCTATTTAATGCATCAATGAGATATCGGACAAGACGGTGGGGCACAGCGGTTAAGGAACAGGGCTCTGGAGCCCTGGCTCTGCCTCTTAACCACTGCAGGACCTTGGGCAAGTTATTCAATGTTCCTGAGCCTCAGTTTACTCCCCCATAAAATGGGGATTATGATACCACCTACCTCAAAGGACATCTGTGAGTGCAGCACAAGGATATCTATAGATATATATATCTATAGATATAGATATATATATATATCTATAGATATATATCCTTGGCTATAGGATTGGCTATAATTCAATTACAAAAATACAGATTCACCCACAGGTTCTTGATCACTGTTCATGGAAATGAGTGGCCTGAGGTTTTATTTTTCCCTTTAAGATTATTAATTTATTTTTAGAGGGAGAAAGGAGGAAGAGAGACAGGGAGAGAAATGCTGATGTGTGAGAGAAACATCGATCGGCTACATCTTGCACGCCCTCAGCTGGGGATGTGGCCAGCAACCTAGACATGTGCCATGCGCAGGAATCGAACCAGTGACCTTGTGGTTCACAGGCTGGTGCTCAATCCACTGGGCCACACTAGCCAGAATGTGGCCTAAATTTTATGCCTGATTTTTATTACCTGTAATTTTGACTGCTAGAATGCTAGAGCAAAAAAAAGATCTTGGAAAACTTCTGCAAAAACCAAGTTAACAGATGAAGTCTCAGGCAAGTGGAACAAATAAATGCACCTTCTGTTTACACAGTGACCTGGCGTGGAGCTAAAAACAAGAGAAGGGCCTCAGCATGGCTCACAGAGTATGGCATCAAAGGGGGGCTGGGCTTGTTCCCTCATCCACAGACTCACGTGTTCATTCATTCAGCAATATTCATAAGCTCCTATGCGTGCAATGCACTGGGGATTTGGCGGTGAACAAGCCAGACAAGGTGTTTGCTTCACGGAGCTTATTACTGCAAACAGGAGGGGACAGAGAGACCATAAAATATAAACAAATAATCAGGATCATTTCAAATAGTGGTAAGACTTCAAAGAGTAACACCGAGTGATGGAGAGGACAGGGTACAGAGCAAGACCACGTAAACTACTTCAAGTTGAACGATCAAGGTGGACCCTCCAAAGAGGTGCCAGTGGAGCAACAAGAAGGAACCAGCCACACAACGATCTGGGCCATAAAATCCAGGCAGAGAAAGAGACAGTGCAAAGGCCACGCGGAAGGAAAGAGCTCGGTGAGACTGCGGAACTGAAGGGACAGCTACCACAGGGGAAGCAAGGTGGGTGGGGGGAGGCGGAGAACCAGGAGACCTGACAGGCAGATCCCGTGGAACCAGGCAGGCCATGCTAAGGGGTCTGGATTCCACCCTAAGTGCAAAGTTTGGCTTAAGGAACTGACACAACACGGTTTGCTGTCAAGTGTCACTTCGGCGGCAAGAGAGGCCTTGCTAGAACTGCCCAGGGAATAACTGCCAATGCACCACAGTCTTGGACTCTGATGTGGAGAGCAGAAAGTCAAGCAGCAGTTTGATCTGCTCCAGAGAACCTAAATAAAGCCCTGGCAAAAACCAAACCAGCCAACCAACCAACAAACAAAAACAACCAAGGCGCCTAGCCTCCTCCGGCTCTGTGAAGGGAGAGAAACCCTGAGGACTCACCCGCTCGTGATGTCATCCGTGCGGATGTTCTTGCTCAGGACGTCCCCATCGCTCATGTAGCCGGGGGCGTCCATGCTGATGCCTTCCAAGTCCATCTCATCTCCGGCCTTGTCCGAGACGTCCACGTGGCAGACGCTGCTGCCTCGGGAGGCCAGCTGCCTCCTCAGAGGTGCAGAGTACACGTAGCGGCCCGACTCGGCGTTGATGAACCGGCTGGCGCTGGCTCGAGGCGGGTACCCGTTGCCCATAGAGGGGGCGTCCCCTGCTTGGAGGCGGGGGCTGGACTGGCCGAGTCTCCAGGAGAGAGGAGTGGGCCTGCCTGTCAAGCTGAGGATGCTGCGTCCGCTGATCTCCGTGGTGACGTTGGTGTCAAATGTAGTTTCTAATGTGCTAAAAAACATGAAAGCCGCCTTGGGTTAGACCCTAACGTGCCTAGGGTTCTTGGCAGTTTATATGTTAACTTTTTAAAATTATGAACGATTTCCCATATACAAAATACGGTCAAACAACAGGCATCAGTGTAACGCCCTCTGTTAAACCAAAGAGGACGATACACACCCACTTAACATTTTGGAAAGCCCATCAAAGACCTTTCCCACTAAAACACGGTACAGGGTCCCCACTGTCAACACTCTGATGGAATTACCTTAACTACGCTAATCTTTCTAATCCAGGAAGGGACACAGAAAGTGCTGAATGGGTGACAGTGAGCGTAAGGCAATTACGCTCATTCATACCCCCTGCCCGTTCGTCCGGGGGGCTGCATCACTGCTCCCCTTTGCAAAGGCAGGACGCACCTGTCCCCTGGGACGTTCCTAATATCCCATCTCATTTCCTCAGCCCCCTCCTGCCTGAGCAGGTGGGGAGGGCCTTGATTTTCTAAGTCTCCAAGGTCCTTTTCCCTACACCTTCGCTTCTCTCAGATTTTGTGCAAAATGACAACTAAGCTTTGGGGCAAAAGGCTAGAAAAGAGTGGTACCTGCCTAGGCTTGAGATCGAATCCCATGGGCCTGCACCTGCCAGGGGGCTGGGTTGGCTCCTGGCCAAGGGGAAGGTTCATTGGCAGGCAGGCCCCTGTCACTCTGGCCCCGACGAGGTCAAGGCCATCAGTTCACCTCCTCGGAGCCGCACTGGGGCCCCAGGCTGAGCAAAGAGAGCGAAGCTTTTCCTGCTGGAGAAACCATCGGAGCTGCCCCTCCTGTCATTGTCATCATCCGAGTCCAAGCCAAGAAAGGCACCAACTGCTGTAACCCACAGTTAGCCCGTTTCAAACCTAATTCCGGGGTCCCATATCTGGCTCCCTGCCATCAAACAGCTGAAGGTTTAGGGGGCCCCACACCACAGGCAAGTCCGCTCTCCTCTGGAAGAACCGAGCTATTTGGCACCTCAACTGTTTTTGTTTCCCTGCGATCCTGGAGGTGGCCTTACCTTCCTCCTATTGGGGACCCTTAAGTCTGGGCTCTGGTCCTTCTGTGAGATGGAACCCATGGTGCTTACCCCCGATCTGCCAAACATGCCAACAGGGGGGAAGCCCCGTGGTCTCCTGGCTTATTTGTTTATCAAAGAGACTGAAACCGGAGAAGTGAAGGAGGCTCTGGGAGATCAGCGCAGGTACCGAGGACTTGGCCTTGAGTACCACAGCCCAGCGCAGACCGTAAATCTCGATTCTGCCAAAATCACGAGGAAACGGCCTAGGATTGCATCCTTTTCAACTTCTTGCTCAGCAATGAAAACAACTTGATAAATGTTTCCAAGGTAATGCTAGACAACCAAGGTAATGCTAGATAAATGTTTCCAAGGTAATTTCGTACAACTAAGTCGTTGTTTAAACACGATGATACATTTTTATAAATATTTCCTTATGTGCTTTATAGACGTGCATGACTAACACCATTACAGAGTGCCGTGTATCAGAACCCGGGTAGGAATGCAAGCTATTCACTTTATCACATGGGTCAAATACAGTTCACCTGCTCATTTCAACAGCACGGTAGAGTTTTTGGAAAATGCGCAAAAGTGCAATTTAAACAGAGCTCACCTAAAATATCCTGTTGAATAGATTTAGCAACCTCCTGCTTTGGGGAGGAATCTGTCTATACTTTCTTGCTCCTCCTCCTTCTCTTCCACACACTATATGGCTTTCTTTGTCAATTCCCGCACGTTTAGTAATCAAGGTTACTTGTAACATTCTCAACCAAATCACTTTGCCAGCGGTGTGAACAAACACAAGAGAAGCTGTGTAAAAATCGGGTTACTAGCTAGTTCAGTGAAGTGATTCACACTTCAAGTACCTGTGTGTAACCTGAGTTCCCCGTAAGCTGGACATGGTCTCCTCCAAATTCTGCCGCAGGTCAGCGATGTTCTTCACCGTCCGCAGTCGCCGAGCCTCAGGGTCTTCCCCTGAGAAGACGAGGGTTAAGACTGTTTTAATTCTCAGACAGATGGTGAACTTCACGGGAGTAGTACCCATGTCTATGATTTAACCACGTTCCATGCTAGGAGCCTGGCTCACCATGGGTGCTTAAGAAGAATGTGAGAATGAATGAATGAATGAAAAAATGAATGAACAAATGAATGAATGAAAAAATGAATGAATGAACGAATGCATGCAGGCCCAAAGGAAACTGTTAAATCCAAGAAGACAAGTCTTTCTTCTCCCCCAGGTCCCTCCTGAAATGTGTGACGTCTAGCTGATGGAAGGAGCAAAGAACCTGGTCTGAGACATAAACACGCTGTCACGCTGACTCCAATAAAGGTACGCACAGGGCGGGTCTGGTTCCCAGGAACCACTTTCGGCCCGAGCAAAAGTGAGTGAGGCCGTTTGTTTTCTTATCCAGGGGTGACGCGTACTGCTGTCTCCTGGACTTAGGTTACAAAAGGAACTTGGAGTGGCTAAATGAGCTGCTCCTATTAACCACAAATATCTCTACAGAGAGAGGTTTGCCATTTCTTTATGACGTCACATCAAATTCTGGCTCCTCTCTTCACTGGCTGTGTGGTCGCAGAGAAGGCGCTGGTACTCTCCCCCCTTCAGAGGCCACCACCCGAAAGCAAGGACAGTAACAATCCTGACGACCTCCAGGGACAGCTGTGGGGACTAAATGGCAAAGGGGCTGGAGATGCCAAGCATGGTGACCACCACAAGCACTGAACTCATGCCCGCTAGTGCTGCAGAGCAGGGAGCCATCAAGGTGACTCAGGGCTTCACTTGGGAGACCAGGGACTTCCATCCTCTGGGCAAGATTCTCCACAAAAATGCGTGGCCCAGCAGAGGTCAAGCTGGCACAAGTGTCCAGGAGGAACAGGGGAGTAACTGTAGTAACAACGGCAGGAATCAAACTTCTTCCCCTCAGAGTAATTTCAGAGAACGCTGAGAAGACTCAGGGGCCACACTCAAGGATCTTTAAAAGCCTATGATCATTTCAAGTGTGAAGCAACATTTTGAAAGAAATCTCCATAGAAAACATAGTCCTCCTGGGCAGCAGCAAGTGGAGTCTACATGAGACACTAAGTAGAACTTCCAGCAATTGTCATTAGTAGGGCAACAGGCTCTAAGAAATGCCACAGACGGAACCTCCCTTCTGAGACAGATGGCGGCTTCCGTGGGCTGCTCTCAGCATGCCAGTGCCTGCAGGCCGGGGAATGGACTGAATGGTGACTGTGTGATTTCATGCAGGAAACCTGCTACAGCAAACGCTCTCCCCTTGCTAAATGCAAGTGTTTTCAATTTTCTGCCTCTTTTTTAACCAAGAGAAATTTGGAAGGCATTTATTTTTTTTTCCTTATCTGAAAAGTGGTCAAATGTGTACTTCCCACCCAATTCTTTAAAGTCCATACAGTAGGTATGTGTTTCTGAATGAAAGCAGCGTGGATGACTACCTTCTCCTAATGGCCTTGGAGGAAGGTAATTGCATCGATCTCCTGGGCCGCAGTTAAATAAATGGGCTGCCAGTTTGGCCACATTTTATATACGCGAGGCTGCCAACAAAGGTACTGATCTTTTGGACAGCTCTGGGCCCTGCCGTGAAAATTCATTATGAAGCTAATTACCTTCACTAATTAGCTTAATCATGCTACAAAGGGTGTAATGATTATTTTATTCATCCACATTCCTGTTCATGACGTGGTTGCCTGCGTCAACTCTCCTTTGGAATTCAAAGGTCTTTGAGTTGGAACGACATCTCTCCACCTTTATGGTCGGTGGCCCCCACCCGTATCTGCAGGTGTTTGAGAAATTGTTACTGTCCAACAGACAGTCAGTGGAGGCTGAAGAAAGGGCACTGACTTTGCACTCTGACAGGTGAAGGTCTGGTTCGTGGCACGGCTGTGGAGGAGCCTCCTGACCTTGGCCAAGTCACTCACCCTTCTGAAGGACATCTGTGAAACGGGGATAAAACCCTTCCATTTGAAGAGCGAGGAGGAGGGTCAGATAAGGAGGTCCTGGCACAAACGGAGGGCTTGTCAAAGCCGGCTGTCCCAGTCCCCTCTTGGGGAGCGGTGATTCCTGCTGGGAAATGTTAGCTTCCCCCAGAGCGCTCTACACGCTGGAGGCCACGGGTGACACAAAAATGCACACGCGTAATCCACCCGCCTTCCACAGGCGACCACCACATCCTGAACTGTCAATTCTGCCTCCTTGGAAGACGGCCTGAGTGCATGACTTTCCCGCCATCTCTCAGCCTGAACAAAATAAAAATACAACCATGCTCTAGCAGAAATTGCAGGATCCTTTCAGCTCATATGTAGAGATTATAAAAATTAAGCTACTCTATGTCTACCTGTGGTTCTCGAATTTGCCAAGGGCAGCCCTCCCTCCAGCTATTGGCTCTGAGGGAGAGAACACTGTACCCTCTGAGTCCACAGGGCTGAGTTTAGAGGATGTCAGGGTGTTGTAAAAAGAACATGGAAGAAACCTGGGATCTTAGAATAAGGCGGCTTAAAGGACAAGCTGCTGCATGAAAAGGATCGAAGTTGTCTGTGAACTTCCGGAGGTTGGATTATATCCAGGGATTAAAAATGTAAGGGTAAAGAACTCTGTTCCCCATTAAAGCCACAACATATGAAAAGGCTGCCTAATGGAGGAATAATCTTTCTGTCACAAGAAACACCCAAGCAGAGACAGAAAGATGATTCATCGGTGAAGACAGAAGGGAGTCAAAGGCTGAATAGGAAACAAACAGGAGTGTGTGGTTCTTTCTAAGTCTACAACCCAAGATGCAGGTCTTAACAGTAGCACTGTGTAAACGACCAAGCACCATGGGAAAACCTAGCTATTTGTGTAAGCACAAGAAGAACTAAGCAACTGACCAAACAGCCCCGTAAATATACCCACCATTCATTGTCATTTCAGGGGAGCAGTTATGGATATGTTAAATTCGACCCCATGCCACTATATAGCGTCTCCATAAAATAATTCACCGCACAGTCACACATGTGAGTCCTGCTACTTGAATATAAAGACAAGTCACCCTGATTAAGAAATTTTCATCCGCAACCAACGCCATTTGGCTTAACACAGAAGCGTGTGGGTCAGGCACAACTGGCTGCACTAGCTGTTCCCCAAAGCAACTAACAGCACCTCTGGCTTTCTGAGCTCCTAGTTGGTGTCACAGTCCTGATGCAGAGGAGACATGAGGAGGAAAAGAGAAATGAGAGGAAGGTCACAGGCTGCAATCTGTCACTCTGAAACTTAAGGGTTACGTGGACCGTTCTCTGGCTGCTGCTTTTGCTTTTCGAATGTGACTTTTCCTGCGCCTTGGTGCCCGATGCGAATTCACGCCACTCCGCGGGACGCACACCTGATACGCACCGGGCCCCGAAGCCCCAGCCTCGCTCTTTTGATGTGTGCAGAGAAGAACACGGTCTGGAATGCGTGTGGAGACCTGAGCCGTCAGCTGAACACCACACCCTTCTCTTGGCCCTTTCCCTGGGTTACCCATGCTTTCATATGGAAGGAGCTACACGCCCTGGAGAAAAGTACTAAAATCAATGCCAAATGTGGAGCCCACAACTACTGTAAGACAGATCAGTTACCCACGGCTTGAAAACTCTGCTCCATCACAGCGCTCAGTTAGCAGAACCAGAGGAAATGGTTAACTCACTCAGATCCTCTTACATTAACACTAGAGCTAAAGGTGAGACGGGTGAGATCCGACCACTCGGGCTGCGGACCAATGCCGCAGCTGGGACATGGCTGTGAAAACGATGTGGCCAGGGACAGCGAGTCTAATACACGAATTTTAAACACGAACTCAATTTCTAACCCAACTCTGGAAGTGGAAAGGTAGGAGAAGAATAACACGGCCACTGCTAAATGTGCGGTTTACCACCCACTGCCCGCGTCGTGAGAGGCTGCGGACACGCAGGGCACGCGTGGAGAATGGGGAAGGCAGACGGGGAAGGCGCCAGCTCAGAAAGCACGCAGTAGGCACTCTAAGTCAGAGGCGACTTCTGTCCTGCAAGTGGAGAATGTGACGGGGTAGCATTCATAGGAACATATTTGTGGAATGAATGACATGACAGCCGTGGATTTTATAGTTTTACATAATGCCCCTTTAATCATCATGGTCGGGGCTATACTTAAATAATTTCATTAGTTTTTGGTTTTGGTAAAAGTTGCAGGCTGTAATCTTTCCAATTACTAGAGGATGCTAAGAACAATGTTCAGTTCATGCTTCTACACAGGAAAGAAAAAAGAGGCAACAGTGTGAGTTCCAACTCTTGTTGGAAAGCATCTTTATCTGAAGCGTAAACTAGGTGATTCAAAGCTAGGTGTCAGAGCAGGTCGGCACCCCTATGTGAATGAAATGAAACATGCCTTAAAAGATGATTTGCCGACAGGTAAGAGACTTCTTTACAATTTGGGGGAGGAGGGAATAGATTGTGTGTGAGAGAGCAGGAAAGAAAGGGAAGAAAATGGTAAGAAAAAGAAATATATTTGTTTAGCTCATCAGTCAATGCCACAGTAAACCGACTTCCGATCATGCTGGGTCCGTGCCCTTCCAGCAGGTGGTTAGACGGCACTGCCAACAGGCTCAGCGTTTCTGGGGCTGTGTACTCACCAGCCAGTTCTTCCAGCGCAGGCTGTCCGCTCTTGGCGTAGTGGCTGGGCTCCGTGCTCATGCCTGCTGAGCTGGACTCGGCGGTAACATTCCCTTCGGTGTCTGTCTGGGACCTTCACACACAAACCACAGCAGAGACACCTGTCATGCACGGTAACACACACATCTGGACCCCTGTGATCTTCCCATAGCACCCGCGTCACCTCCTTCAGCAAGGAGCTTTAGGATGGGGCAGACCAGCCGACTGACACTAAATAATTTCACTAGCACGCATGGAGCAACGTCCTGGACACACAGAGAGCCATCAAGCTGTGAAAGATGAAATGTTCAATGCCCAGTCAGAGGGGCTGCCATCTGTCACTGGGGACTGCTCCTCCGAATCCCCACCAGGGCGCTAAGTCTGATCAGCAAAATGCCGGGAGTACTGGGTAGACTGAATCATTTAGCTTATGCCAGGCAGTGACTTCTAAGTAACCAGCAACACTGGCAAGTCAAACATAAGGTGACTCCATCCACAGCCCCCATCCCCCCCACAGATCCTCTTGGCATGGCTTCTCTGAAGAGGTGACTGTAAAACCAGTCAAGACTTCATGCCAAGCAGGTGTGCTTGCCCTCCAGGTCTCTGATTCACAGCTCAGATCTCCTGACTTGAAAGGTCTCATTGATCATCATTTCAACACTTGACTGAAATGTGTACTTCCCCAAACCTTCTCCATGCCCTTATTTGTCAAGCAAATTGAGGCAACCGCTTCATGCACTGTGTTCTTGCCACAACCATCTCTGTTCATTTAGGCATGGCACGCAAATGCGTAACTACACTCGGATGCACGTCCCTGGGCATAACATTATTAATTCATTAGCGTCCTGAGCTAATTCAACCTGATTTCGCTCTCTGTGAAGAAAGTGTTTGCCAAGAATGAGAACTCTCTCAAATGTGGGGGATGTGCTGGTAACCTCAACTCATCCATCTATTCTTCCTCCCTCTGGCCCCAAGCCATCAGTTCCCATTTCTGGCCATCTCTGCCTTTAAAGGATTCCCATACTCCCAGGGGTCCTCTGCATCCCCTGGCCAGAGTCCAGGCTCTCACCATCTCTGCCCAACCCCGGGAGTGCTCTGTGAACAGGCACGTTGCCTCCAGCGGGGGGCTGTAAATGGCAGCCAGGTGTAGAAACCAGCCCAGGGATTTATTCTGATTGGTATGCATAATAATTTAAAGCTTTTGAATTAGTTTCAACATTTAAAAATAGGGAGATCACACAAGGAATCACCTGTAGCAACTTCTGGCTTCCCCAGTAAAAAATGCTTAGGCAGATCTGGAAAGACTGAGCTGGGCCCACCAGTGCCAAGTGGTGGCGGCGCCCCCTACAGGCATGGTCTTCCCTCTGCCTCAGTCCTGCTCTTCCCATCTATACTACCCCTTGGGGGCCCAATCAGGCACCTGAATTCATGACCTCTGTTCCAGACTGTTCCTAGGTCCGGTCCACTCCTCATACCAGTCTCCACTGATCTCTGTGTTACTGATGTGACCGCACCATCCTCAGATGAAAGGCCTCCAATGGTTTCCCATTTCCCACAGAAAAAGGTCTAGACTCCTGATGGTGACAGAAGATGCCCCATGCCACACAAGTCTCCCTTCATTTCCAGCCCCTTCTCCTGCCCTGGGCACAGAGCCCTGCCCTCGGCACCACCCACAGGTGGCTTCTCTCCATCCCCAGATTACACCCACGCCCTTAGCCATTTTGTCTGTGTAGTTACTGTGACTCCTGCCCACGGGCCGTGCCCCTCCTTCTCCCTTAGTTTGCTCCTAATCTGCCTTTAGGATGCGGTTCCCATGTCCTCTTGACCTGGAAGCCTTCCCGACTCTGCCAGCTGATCACTCCACCCACCCTCCTTAGTCTCCCGATGGCTGTGTGCAACAATGTGATGTAACTAAGAAATCTTTCCTCAGCTAGATTGAGAGCTCTGAAGGCAAAGACTCTTTTTTTTTAATATGCACACAGAAAAACACGATCCGCTTAAGCTCATATGTTGAACAGGAGTCAAGGTGTGTTGAATGGATAGATGAGGACATTTTAGGCCTAGAAGGATGCTGGGCAGAAGGAACTCCGTAACCTCACAGCCATGCACATCTGAGGACGTCCCCTCACCTCTGGACCACAGGACCCTCACCTTTACAGCGGGAATAGCAGGGACCTCTCCTGGCTGCTACAAAAATCACATGTGGCCCCGGCTGGTGTGGCTCAGTGGATTGAGCATGGGCCTGCGAACCAAAGGATCACTAGTTCGATTTCCAGTCAGGGCACATGCCTGGGTTGTAGGCCAGGTTCCCGGCAGCAGACGCACGAGAGGCAACCATACATTGATATTTCTCCCCCTCCCCTCTACAGATAAGTAAATAATAATAATAATAATAATAATAATAATAATAATGTCTTTAAGAAAATTTTAAAAATCATGTGGTATGACACAGAAACAGTGATAATGTTATTTCTAAATTGATAAGTATGATTCATTCTGAGTAAGTTTTAAAATGATTGATCTTCCTTGTATCCCTTGGTTAAATCACTAACATGAGAGGTTCTGGGGAGAGCAGGGCAGGTTATATATAGTGAGCCATGAACTTGAGAGAGCGTTTTAGAGCACAAAGAAGTCTACGCAATTTTAACAACTTCCGTAACCTAGTCCCGTCTCCTCACTTTAGAGATGGGGACAGTCAGGTTCAGAGTGACGCCATGGTTTGCAGAGCCAAGACGGTTGTGGTGGTTAAAACCACAGTCTCTCTCCTCACACAGCCTTCAGGTTAAACACTAGCTCTTCTGGCTGTGAGCTCTGTGACTTAGAGCAGGTTATTTAATTACTCCAAGCCTCAGCTTTGCTCAGCTATAGAATGGGGATTTCCAAAAGGTAGGCAGCTCAGGAAAATGTGGGAATAAGGAAACCAGCTAAGGCATGAAAAGCTCTCAGCAAGGCTTCCGTACACACTCAGTGCCAAGGCCACACAGGATGCTGCACCAAGGCCAGAGTCCAGGAGGCCCGACTCCTGGCTCAGTGTGCTCCCCGCTGGCGTCTCCCCTGGCTCACCTAGAGTGCAGAGGCACCTCGCACAGCAGCGGGACATCAGGCAGGGCAAGCTTCACCTGGGACTCCGCAGATACCCATGGCATTTCCTCCTTTTGCCTACTTGTCAGACACTTGCTCTTTATCACAGAGAGTTTTCCCTCTCATTAAAAAAAGCTTGACCTTTTTTTAAAAAGGTTAAATATTTTATAATCTTTGAAATAATTACAGACAAAAAAGGAGGTATGGGATTGATGGCAAAGACTGTATATATTTTAATTTTGAAAATGCCAATCAAGAATCTGTAAACAGCTGCTTGAATATGCATTACCTCAAGACTACGAATGTTACTGGAATGATAAACATTTCACGGGGAGCGATTCAGCTGCCTCCACGGTTCAGAGAACCATTGTATCCAAAGCTGTGCGTGTAGACGAGCGCCGAGTCGCTCGCTGAGCCTTGGCTCTCTCCGCGGGGCTGCTGGCTGGGCTGATGACGTGATTTAATAAGGAGATGACTGGCTCCCAGATTAAAAGTTCTGGCATGACCCTCCCTAAAGGGGAGGGTGAGTGGAGGAAAAGGGAAGAGGGACGAGGCAAAGCTTGACATTCCCTCCCTGGCTGGACCTGGCCGGCTTTCCTCTGACATCACCCCCGTCAGTCCTGCCATCAGCTGTTGGTGGGAATGGTGAGGATCTCTTACAACACAACTCAGGCAGGGAGAGAAGGCAGCGGGCACGAGTCCGACTGTGAACTATGGAAATACACGTGCGCACATGTGCATTTGATACACAAACGTGTATATCCACACCTTCAGGCGTCTGAGTGTGTGTGTACGGTTGGGGATGTGTATGTACTTAGGATAAAAGCTATAAAATGAGTGCCTGGAATGTGACATCCAATCATTCAACCCTTGGTCCCCCTTTGCTATGCAGACGTGTTAGTCGTCATTCAACTGTGCCGTGTAGTGAAAGACACTGCATGTCCAAAGCACAGGTCAAGCTGACGGCCGTGAGCAGAGCTCTGAAGCCTCCTTAGGATCAGCGCTGGGGGAGCTCCCATCTGCCAGGAGAGGACGCCTCCACGTGTATCGCGTGGCCCCTGGAGCCAGTGTCTGCATTCTGCAAAGGTGTGTGGTGTGCGCTGGGCAGCCAGGGAATCTCGCGAGGCCACGGCCCCACGGGCCAGAGGCACCGGGCCCCACACAGGCTCGCATGGACGTGCTCGTCAGAGACGAGAGAGACTGAGGGGCGGATGACAGACAGAAGGACAATCAGGTACAAACACCGGGGCTTGTCTCCGCAACACAACCAGGGTTCTTTTGTCCTCCCAGCCCCGGTCCCTCCTCACCACTCCCCTGCTCCCTCACCCTGTCCTCTCCTAACAGCCCAGCATACAGCAGGGACCGGAAACATGCTTCATGTGTGTGCTGTGGCAAGAGCCTGGGAGGGGCTGGAAGCTCAAGACAAACGCCTCTGTAAGGAGCCTCAGCTGTTCAGCGAGGCGGCGTCTGTGTTTCTCATGTTTTGAAGTACATTCAGGATGCAGGGGGACTGATGCTGGAGCCTGTCGGGTGCGACCATGCCACTGCTGCCTCTGAAGTGCCCCCAGGCCCCAAGGCCACCGGGTGAGGTCCTCACCCTGGGGCAGCTTAAGTTTCACTTCCTTTCTTTAGCCCTCTCCTGCTCCCCATCAACCCCCGCCATATTAATTGTTCCCTCCAGCACACTGAGTGTCCCTCATCTAGGGGCTTATTGCTGGTACCTGAGCTGTTGGCTTACATGTTCCTGGAGGGCAGTTCTGATTCCTGCCCTCGGTTACCCAGAAGCCACCAGAAAAGCTGTTGTCCAGTGGCCCAGAAAGCAGGTGGGGGGGCAGCTCCTACCTGTACAGAAAAGGCGCGACCGTGGCAGTGTTGGGGTGGCTGTATTGCTGCTGGGGCTGAGGTAGCTGAACACTGACGGTGTTGCTTCCTGTGGTCTGGGTGGTCCCGACGGACCCGCTGACAGTCTGGCTGCTGATGCTGTGGTTCAGGGTGGTCCCTCCTGGGCCTTTTCCTTCCGAGGATGCCAGGCTGGAGGAGGAACTGGAGTGTCTGCCGTCCAGCTGGGGCTTCTGCTGGGGGAGCCCCGAGCTCGGCTTCCCGCCCCGGCTCCGCTCGCCCTCCTTGGAAGGGGCAGGGGCACTTGGGGACTTCCCAGGCATGCTCTTCATTCCTGGTTTTGGTATTCCACTGAGGGAAGGGGCTGGGGCCTCCTTCTTGGCACTGCTGAGCTTGCCCCCTTTGGGGATGAAGCTGGCGATCTTGGAGGACTTTTTTGGCATCTCGGTCACCGCTGCCCCACTGGGGTCTTCTTTGGGGCCCTCTTTGAGGTCTGGCCTCTCTGTCACAGAGGCTCTCTTGGTGAGATCCTTGCTTTTCTCCTTTTCCCGCTGTTGTTTCTCCTTTTCCTTCTCGTTGCCTTTTGGGGAACTCTTCTTGGTGGTCAGGGCCCGGCTGAAAGTTCTCTGGGCGATGCCTTTGAGCGCGATCTTGGGGCTGCTGGAAGCGGGGCCCGCCATGGAGGGTGTGCGGCCGGTGGCCTCCATCTCTTCGCTCTCTTCAACGCTGGACAGGATCTCCAGCCGCTCACAGCTTGTGTCCCGAGACCCCGGACCCTCACCAGCCTTGGAACCCGCTTTGCTGTTGAAAAGTTTTAGTTTTTCCAGCATGGACTTCTGATTGTTGGGCGCTGGCTTCAAGGCGTCAGGGCTGGGCCTGGGGGCCTCGGACACGGGCTGCTTGACTGAGAGCATGGACGATGTGGCGCTGTGCTTCACACTGATGGGCTTGCTGCGCCAGGACTTGGTGGCCGTGCCCGGCTGGGGGATGGCCGAGGAGACGCTGCAGTTAGCAAGGGCGGAGCTGCTGCCACTCTCCGAAGAAGCAGGTGCATTTTCGCTCATTCCGGGGTGGGAGGAGGCTGGGCTTGCCAGTGGCTCTGCAGAGATGGGGGAGAGATGGACACCTGCATTACACCTGTGGGCCTGCACGAGGCCGGGGAGGGTCGGCCATGACTACCTAGCCAGCCACTCCCAACCCAAACACCTTACAGCTCTACCGCCTGCTTTGTACACCACCTGGAGTTAAATCTCACCTTCATTTCCTCCTGCTCTCCATCACACACAGCTCCCATTTTTGCGTATGCTGTGTAAAAGCAGGCTGACCTTAACATCAAATGCTCAGAAAGCACAGCTGAGCACTTACATTTATGGAAAAAGAAACAAACTAAAACCTGCACCACCTGTGGTGGTACAGGAAAGATTTGGGAAATAGCTACTGCTTTGAAATATTGATCCTGCAACACCATTTCCCAGTTATGGGAAACAATTGAACATTATCCAACTTAACAAAACAATGGTGCAGAGACATTAAAACAGATAGGCCAAAGAAAAAAATTGGGAAAAGAAGGGAGACCAAGTATAATCTTTACAGAAGAATTACCCACCGGAGCTGCTGAGTCCTATCAGAACAGATCAGTTTACTCCCATTTTGGCACTTTTAAAGGGTGACAAAGACGATTCAGAGTAGGCTTAAAGTAGAAAAGACTTTTTAGTGTAAACTGAACACAGCTTCGCTGTAGGCAAGACAACACACAGGTTATCTGAAAGTCAAGGCTTTCCCCTTGGCGCTCAGGGAGTATTTCTCCAGCCAGACTCTGTTCTCAGAAAAGCCTCAACGCACTTCCAAACTAGAGCTGGAATTACCCTGGGAAGGGCGGGCTCCAAAGTGGAGTTCTGCTCCCCACCGAGGCATCCCGTACACAGACACACGCGTGGCAGTGCCCCCGTCAGGAAGCACTGAGAACCCTGGAGCTCCGACTGCCGTGCTGGGGCGGCTGTCAGAGCCAGAGTGGCAGGGAAGGCAGGTCTCGGCTGAGCCCAGGGCCTGCGCACCCCCTTCGCCCGCACACTGTGGGGCATGGACAGGACGCAACACCTCCGCCCCCATTGCACATGTCCCCGTTTGCAAAGTCACCACCACACGACTTACCTAGCAGCAGCCACTTTCTCCTGAAACAACGCCCTGTAGAAAGTTCTCCTACCAGAGAAGCTGTCCTTCCAATTGTCACAAGTGTTTCTGGTTAAACTGCTCATGTTTCTAATTAACTTTTGTCATCCGTAGCTGCCCCGGTGCCCAGAAGCCTGTCGGGATTAACGGCTGCTTCTTCTGCTCTTTCTTTCCTCCTTCTTCTTTTTTTTTTTTTTTTTAATACCTATGTTCCGCTGCCTTCTAGCAACAGAGTAAACTACACAGAGCGGCTTTTTATGATTTAAAAGTCAACGGCCGCCAAAGCCGCGTGAAGGCAGCCCCTGTGTGGGACACGCGCACTGAGCGAGGGGGCGGGTGATGGGGGGGAGAGTTCTGGGCAGAGGAGCGGCTTCCCTTCACTCTCAGCTGCTCGGCGAAGCCGCAGCTCCAGGGTGATCCAAAGCAGACCTCCCAATGTTTGCAAAGACATACATCTTCCTGACTTGCTGGGGATTTGGGTTTGGGTGGGGGTGGTGATGGAGGGTGCTGCACAACCCTCCCTAACGACACTCACGGGCGTCACGGGATTTTTTCCTGGGGAGAGCTGGAGACTGGCTCGAAAACAGACTCACGGAACCCACCCACCCTGCCGGCCAGCCTGAGGTTCTCCACCTCAGGGGACTGACACTTCCAGAGGGCCCCCGGGGTATCAGGAGGCACAGTGCTGGGGGCGCAGCAGAGAGGGGACTACTGCCCAACTTTCTGAGGGAGGACACTGGGGCTCAGGGAGGGCTCATGGCAGACCCTAAATCGGGCAGCTAGAAATGACCATATCTGGGCTTTGAACCTAGGGCTCCTGACACGGTGCTCCTTTGGGATTGCATCACAGCTACTTCCTTTGATGAAGAGTACATTTGAACAACACCCACTGAAATGACTAGAGTGCTTTCCAGCACCGCTTTTCTATTGCTTAGGTCTGTTTATGACATCCAACATGAAGCCTGGAAAGGAGGCGGGCTATGCCACCGAGGCCAGCTCTCTGGAGGGAATCCAAGCGACCTTCCAACTCCGAGTTCCATTTCTCTTAGGACAACTGTCCTTCCCTTTACCTGGGCTCAGGTCTGGAGCACAGAATGAATGAATGAATGAATTTATGTCAACAGCCAGTCATTCAATGAGCAGCTAGTATGTGCCAGACACTGTCCTGGGCCCTTGGGATACAGCAATGACAAACAACGATCCCTCCCTGCCTGCAGTTTACATTCTAGCAGGGAGAACAACTGATAGTCGATGTCATTATCAATGCACACATTTATCATTCGTTAGAAAACAAGTGCTAAGGAAAATGGGGCCTCGGGGACATGTTGCAACAAAGTCTTTACAGGAACTATGACATCACATTCAGAGACACACACCTCTTTCCTAAAGAAGGTTTAGGCACATTCCCCCTTGGCCATACGCGCATGAATCACGGACTTCTTAGCTCCCACACATTCCTTGGAACCTTATAAAGCTTACTCGAAATGGTTTTGATGAGAAATGGCCCTCTGTAGCATTTCTGTGGATTTTTACCGTTAACATACACAACTGGAAATTAACCAACAACTGAAGAGCTAACGGCTGACCCACAGTTCACAGACGCCTGGTTTGCCTAAGTGAAATGTGCAGACCAACTGAAGGTGCTTGTCTCCTCCAGGAAAGTGCCATGTGGAAGACAAGGGCTCGTACAACGTAGACAGGACACTTACACTGTCACTTCTCAGCCCTGCCGAAACAGCGCCCAGAAACCCAGACTGGTCTTTCAAATGCCAGCTGCGTGCCTTCCCCCTTCATCACCTGCGCCCCTCAGGCTGAACGCACTGCCTGGTCTGCATCCGATGGAACTGCCCCCCACTCTGTGTTTTCCCAGGACACTGCCCACACCCCCGGAAGAGGATGTGGGAGTGCTGCCCACTTCCACCGGGCACTGGAAACACAGCTGCATGAAATACAGCCGCTGCCCTGTCGGAACGCACCGTCCAAAGGGGCTGCAACCTCAGAACGGAGCACAGAAACCGCGTAAGAGGGTGGGAAGGGCTGCACGGCCCGCCCGAGGACTGGGATCCACTCGTCCTTCCCGGAGCGTCCGGGAAACCTTCACGGGCAGGTCACCCTCGAGTTTGTCACATCGAGTCTCTGCTAGGGTTGGTTTGATATTCTGCTTGTCTGTGAGTTCCTCCAGGACAGACCCCACCCCCACTCCCCGATGCATCTTTGCACCCCAGAGCCTGCCAGAGCACAAAAAGGAGTCGGTACAGTGGACCCTTGAACAGCATGGGGGTTAGGGGTGCCAACCCCCCGTCCCACAGTGGAAATATCACATACAACTTTGACTCCCCCAAAACTTACCTACTAATAGCCTACTGCTGACTGGAAGCCTTACCACTAACACGAGTAGTCAGTTCACACAGATTGTGTATGTTATCTTTATTATATACTGTATCCTTACAATAAAATAAGCTAGAGAAAAGAAATGTGTCATTAGAAGTCATAAAGAAGAGAAAACACCTTTGTAGTATTTCTTGGGGAAATGTATGTACAGTGGACATGCACAGTTTGAACCTGTGTTGCTAAGGGTTGACTATAAGTGGTTTCTGAATTATTGGTTGGTAGTTTTGACATTTGCAAGTCACATTTAAGGCAATGGAGATGCAAGATTTGTGATTAGTCATTAGGGTTTTATTAAAACTTTCATCCTGAACTCAGGGGGAAAAACCCAGGATTGGGATTCAGAGCTTTGGAATTTCCACTTGGCATTTAGCTTGGACTCTGTTAATTATGAAATCGTGGGGACATTTCAAGGATACTCTTTACATCTGTAAATGGTAGCACCCAGAGATGGCTGTGAACTTGGGTTCTAGAACAGAAGTTCCCTCAGTAAGACTATAAGGCACCAGGGACCCTGAAAATCAGATCATCAATACTTAGTACTTACTGTCATGGCCAGAAATCCCTTTAACTGTGAAGGGGGCTCCAGGTCATGAGGTGTCTTGTCCAGGTTAACTTGACACAGTCTGCCATTCCTAAGAGTATCACACCAGTGACCTCGGATCTGGGCTGCAGTGGTGGCTTGGGGCCACTCCTCTTTCTTCGGAAAGCAGCCATTTTCAGGACCAGGGTTCCGAGGTTGCTAGCGTGAGCATTTTCTTACCAAGCCTCAGACATTGTCACCGACAAATGGTGTGACCCTAGATATGTCATTTTGCCCCTCTGCGCCTCAGGCGCCCCATTTGTAAGAAAGAGGATGAGCTATTATTTCTCTAGAGCCCTTTCAGCTCTATTTCTATTAAAATCTCAGTGAGTCTCCAAGAGGCCCTACGAGGCCGGGCCACAGCCAACCCCGTCCCACGGCACGCAGCCTGCACTCACTAAGTTCCATCCCGACCCTGTGCTGTAACACACGGGCGTTCCTTTATCTTCGGACCGTGCTCTCCACAGTCCCCTTCGGATGTTCCCAAATAAATGGGGAAAACTGCCTGGATCAAGGTATAGTCAACCTCAAATGCGTTGCTAGTCAATTCAGAAATGCTAGTATCTACAAAAATAAGCGCGAAGGGTGAGTTCTTTAACATTAAGAGCACTTTTCTCCCGGATAACTAAAAGCGTATTTCTTTTCTCATGAATAAGCATCTTTGTGAGAGCAAAGAATTCAAGGAAGAGAGAGAAGAGAAGCACCAAGGGAGAGTCTGGGCATCACTGTTTTCCCAGCAACGGCACGTGGGCCCCTGGAGTCGGTGAGATTACTGTAGACAGCACATGGACGAGCACTTCTATGCTTTAAGAGTTATAGATTTACTTTATTGCATCTTAGAAAGATCATTGGCCCACCTATAAATTTGCAGTTTTATGACTATGAAACATTGATTTAGGGAAAACATGAAACAAACAAAAACACAGGTAGTTCATGGATTTGTGAAAGACCGACGTCAG